TTTTGCTCGCCGATCTGGCAGAAAGTGGCTGCAGGGAGCCGTAAGCTCCTTTTGTGTCGGTTAAACCGGCTCAGCGGGTGCTGGGGAAGGGCGGGAAGAAGCTGATGCTGTCGGGGGGGTTTGGTGTGCATCGTGTGGGTCTGAGATCTACAGGGGAGCCCAGGCTGCCTTCCCGAGCCGCTTTAGGTCACTGATCGGGCAGAAAATTGGGTCAGGGAGAAATAAATCGGGTTTTTTTCCGGATCGGTGAGCTAAAGCAGTTCGGCGAGCCCTGGGTGGGAATAGGAGAGTGTTTTGGGGCTTAATACGTCTCCAGGGCCGGCCCCGTGGGCACGCGAGAGGCCAGCGCTGAGCAAATATTCCCTTCCTGGCAGCCGGGAGGATTTTGGGCACCATCTGCCCCCTCCAGAAGGGAAAACGAGTGGGTCAGTCCCCAGAAAACGGCTCTCGACGGCCCAGCACCTGCCTGGACCCAAACAATTGGAATTAAGCCTTTAATTTCTGCAGCCGGCACGGCACGGAGGCGTCGGGGTGGGATAGCGAGCACCGAGACCAGCCCGTCATCCTCCTCGTGCTCCGACACCGTTAAAAACTCCCCAAAGGAAGCGAAAACCGCCTGATTAGCCCCAAATTGGCCTTGCCAGCTGCCCCGAGGCAATTAGCGCCCCAGGCCATCGTGGAGACCTCGGCATGGCCTGGCTCCTTCTCCTACAGGTTGAGCTTCATGTCCAGGATGGCGGCGTAGGTGTCGGGGCTCAGAGGCACGTAGGACTTCTTCTTGTCATCGCGGAAGAAGAGAGCGTCTTTGATGACGTTGGGGTCAAAGCCTTCTTTGACGAGGTTGCCTTTGCACTGCTTGAAGGTCCCCGTGATCTCCAGGGCATCCTGTGGAGATGGATGGTGTTACCAGCGTGGGGTGACTGGCACCGTCATCACAAATGGGGGACCCCGGCGCTGTCATCGGCAACGTGGGGGGACCCGGCTGCCATCGCTGGAAATGGTGACCCCTGCGTCATCGGCACAGGGGCGCAGATGGCGTCATCGGAACTGGGGGGACCCGTACGGTGTCACTGGCACAAGGCGACCACCCGTTGGCACAGGGTGAACCACCGCTGTCATGGGAAAGGAGGGACCTTGACGCCATCGTCGGAAAGGTGGACCGACGCCGTCATCAGCACGGGGTGACCCTGATGTTGTCATCGATACTGGGTGACCGTCACCGTCTCCAGAAACGAGTGGACAGTGCCATCCACAACAGGGTGACCCTGGCAGCGTCATCGGCCGTGGGGGACCGTCACCGGTAACGGGCGACCCCAGCACCGTTACTGGCGCCGGGTGAGCGGCACCGTCATCGGAAACTGGGGGGACGCCGGCACAATCGTCGGAAATGGGTCCAAAGGACTAATTTGGCAGAGGACTGAAAAAAAAAACCCAACCCACCCCGTCCCCCAGAAGCCACCCCGAGGGCTGGGTGAAGCTGGGACCGCTGACCTGGATCCGCACGAAGCGGGGGGCGGCGTAGCTGGGCAGCGTGTCCCTGGTGAAGGCGTAGAGGTCCTCGCCCTCGAAGCTCTCCCCGGCCTTCAGGCGGATGGCCGCCATGCCGCACCTCCCCTCGCACCCTGCAAACAACGCCGGAGTGTTATTTTGGGCAACCCGAGTCTCATTTTACTCTTCTTGGTGGCCACTTGGACCCTTATGGGGACCTGTTGCATGCCCGAAACAACGCTGGACGCCTACTTTGGGTGGATGTGTCCCACTTTAGCCTTCTTGGTGGCCAGTGGGACCACGATGGAGGCACATCATGCACCCAGAACAACGCTGGATGCTTATTTTGGGTGAACGTTTCCCATTTTTCGTCTCCTTTGTGGCCACTTGGACCATTACGGCGGCACACCGTGTGCCCATAACAGCAACTGACACTTATTTTGGGCAACTGAGTCTCCTTTTACTCTTCCTGGTGGCCAGTTGGACCATCATGGAGACATGTCAGTTGCCCAGAACACCACCAGATGCTTCTTTTGGGCAACTGAGTCCCATTTTACTTTCCTTGGTGGCTTCTTGGACCATTGCAGGGGTACGTTGCGTGCCAAAAACAATGCCGGACACTTGATTTGGGCAACCGAGTCCCCCTTTAACCTTCTTGGTGGCCACTCAGACCTTCACAGGAGCCCATTGTGTGCCAAAGCCATACCAGAAACGTATTTTGGGTCAGTAAGTCCTACTTTAGCCCTCTTGGTGGTCAGTTGGACCGTTACGTGGACACGTTACTTGCCCCAAACAACACTAGATGCTTCTTTTGGGCAAGCCAGTCCTGTTTTACTCTTCTTGGTGGCTGTTTGGACCTTTGTGGCAGTAATCACGAGCCCAAAACAATACCGGACTCTTATTTTGGGTCAATGAGTCCTACTTGGTCAGCCCAGACGTGGTCAGGCAGTTGGACCAGATGATCGTTGTAGGTCCCTTCCATTCTATTCTACTTTAGGCTTCTCGGTGGCCGCTCAGACCATTTCGGGGCACGCTCCATGGCTGGAACATCACCAGATGCTTATTTTGGTCCAATTCACCCCCCGCCCCGCCCCACACAGTACTCACCCGGCACGGACACTCCGTAGACGTTGACCTCCTGGATGAAGTTCACCATGGCGAGAGTGGCCTCCACCTCTGTCGTGGCCACGTTCTCGCCTTTCCAACTAGGGAAGAGAAGGGGTGAAGCTGTGAGGGGGGCTGGGGGCTGGCAGGTGGCGTTGCCCACGCAGACGTGGGTGTGAGAGCATCGGAGTTACCGGAAAGTGTCTCCCACTCGGTCCTGGAAGTAGATGAATCTTTCATGGTCGATCATGAGGAGGTCGCCGCTGTTGAAGAAGCTGTCGCCTTTGACCAAGACATCCCTCAAGACTTTCCTCTCTGTCTTCTGGGAATCGCCCGCGTAGCCATGGAAGGGGGTGTTCTTGGTGATTTTGATGACCAGCAGCCCTGTCTCACCTTTGGGGAGGGAAAGGAGGGTTGGAGGCCGGTCAGCAACTGCCTCAGTGCTGGGGAACGTCACCTCCGTGCCCCACCGGCTGCTCAGGGATGATGTTCTGTTTCTTTGAAGGGTTTCTGGTGGCTTCCAGCCACCAAGATGATGATGATAAGGACCAAGAGGTGGCTTTGATGCATCTCAACCCTCTGTCTGCCCCTCTTTCCTCCCAAAAAGGCCCTCGTAAGGCTCATCTCTCCGTACCGGGGCGGACTCGGATGCAGAGACCTCGCTCGTCACGTATGGGTTTGTCCTCCTCCACATTGTACTTGATCAGCTCAAAGGGAGCGAAACTCTGGAGGGCAGAAGAGGGACAGAGGGGGGAAACTGATGGGTGGAAGGAAGAGAAATGCGGGATTAAAAAGAGCGAGACGACTTTCCTTCCAGCGCCAGGTCCGATCTGCCGTTATTCGCTCGTTACAACCCACAGAAACGCCCCCCACCCCCAGATCCCAACGTCCTGGGTAGCCGCTTGTTTTCCATCCGAGCTAATCGCCCTTTATATTTAAATAAGCTTTAATCTAATAGAGTCAACCGTTGACCAAGCTCATCACGATGTCTTTCAAATCAAAGGCCCGTGGGAGAGTGCTGAGGGCTGCAACTCTGGGAAGAGGGTGGAGAAAACCTTATTTTTGCAGCTTTTGCTCCACACTTGGGTGGTTGGGGACGGAGAAGTGACACCGAAGTAGCCTTTCTCGGGGCTATAGAGGTGTCCAGGTCACCGTGGACGCTCCAAAACTAGACTTTGAGTCAACGCTGTCGAGTCAGCGTTGGCCAACCAGGTGGAGGGGACTCCTTTTGGATGTCAAGAGGGGATCTTGGAGATCCTGCTTGTGCATCAACCCAACCTGATGGACAGTGTTGGCTTCCCCAGGGAGGTCGCTGTTTGTGCCACCATGAGGAGGGTATCCCGGGGACCCCCCCTCTTGGCGTCAGCCCAACTTGAGGTGCACTATTGGTCTCCCCAAGGCAGTCAGCATTTGCTCCCCCCCCCACCCCCCGCCATCGTCGTCACCGTCAGCTCACCTTGAAGAATACGTTGGCTCTGCCCACGGCCCCGATCTTGCCGGTGTAGTTGATGAAGCCGGCGTTGCCCTCGGTGGCCCCGTAAAACTCCCAGATGGAGATGGGCCCGAAGCGCTGGAGGAACTCCTTCCACACCTCTGCCCGCAGGCCGTTGCCCAAGGCCAAGCGCACCCCGTGCTCCCGGTCGTTGGCGCGCTGTGGGGTGACAAAGGGAGGGACCGTCTTGGTGCGCGCCCCACGGCGTTGCCTCCCCCCCCCGGCCCCAGGGTGGATTTCAGGCTGGTGGGACCTTACCTTGGGCGTGTTGCAGAGGTAGCGCATGAGCTCGCCCACGTACTGGATGACGGAGACGTTGTAGCGGCGGCAGTCGTCCCAGAACTGGGAGGCGGAGAATTTGGCCCGTAGGACACAGGTGGCTCCTGTGGGGACACGGCAGGGTGATGGTTGGTTCCCACAACCCTTTCCTCTCTTTTTTCCCTTTTCTCCTTCCTTCCTTCCTTCCTTCCTTCCTTCCTTCCTTCCTTCCTTCCTTCCTTCCTTCCTTCCTTCCTTCCTTCCTTCCTTCCTTCCTTCCTTCCTTCCTTCCTTCCTTCCTTCCTTCCTTCCCGTGAATGGGGCTGTCCTGTCCCCTCGCCCCCACGGTCACCCGTTATCTACGTAGACGCCCTTCTCCTTTTCTGTCGTCTTTTCATCCCACTCTTCCCTTTCCCGTCCCTACGCCGTGTCAGCTGTCCGTCCGTCTAGCCAGCCATCCCTCCGTCGGTCCATTTATCGCTATAGAGATCTTTCTCCTTTTCTCTCTCCCCTTTTCTTCCCTCCATCCTCGCGTTTTTCCATCACCCTTCAGTCCATCTCCAGAAAAAAGTCTGTCCATCCCTATATATAAAAAAAACCCCCTCTAGCCCAACCATCTGTCCCTCTCCTTA